CTGATCCAACAATCAAACCGGGGTCTCCTTGTGGAGGATGTGTTATATCTACCTCTGCGTACATTGGCCTTCCCTGTGGCTCAGCTGGTAAACAATCCACCTGAAATGAAGGAGACCCGGATTTAACCCCTGGTTTGGGCAGATCCCCTGGAGAAAGGAATGGCTACCTGCTCCAGTATTCTTGCTTGGAGAAGCCCATGGAAAGCAGAGCCTGGCGGGCTACAGTCCATGGGGTCACGAAGAGTCAGACACGGCTGAGCCACTGAGCCCCCACTGCATATATTTGACCTCCCTTGTTATTCCACAGTTTTCTTGCTGGAGTCAGCCTGTCTTTGAATCCTTATTTCTATTTCTTATGCGGAGCAGTTTAATGAATGTGGGGTGAATGAACATGGTTTAAGTAAGCCTTGACTAAACTTTTCCATCACTTTCTTTCACTCTCTGTTGTGGCAGCTCTCTGGTGCATATCCTTGCCCCTTCCTGCTGAGTCCCTCTAGCATCTCTGCTTTCATCATCCACATCGCAAGTCCAGTTCTCTGGGTGAACAAGAGCTCAGAAGCCACGATGGCAAATTTCTAGTTTTGGTTTGGAATGAGGGAGACTCTGAAGGGCTAGTCTTGTATTCTGACCCCTGTGTGTGTGTGCACACATGCTGGTTCGCTTCATTTGAGTCCAACTCTGTACGACCCCATGGTCTGAGGCCCACCAGACTCCTCTGTCCATGGGATTCTCCAGGCAAGAATACTGGGGTGGGTTGCTATATCCTCCTCCAGAGGATCTTCCCAACCCAGGGATCGAACCTGAGTCTCTTATGTCTCCTGCATCAGAAGGTGGGTTCTTTATCACTAGGGCCACCTGAGAAGTCCCACAGGATGAAAAAATAAAAAAAGTTTTGGGATCAAGGTAGAAGCATATCTGCTTCCTAATTCCATCATAAAGTGAGCCACACTTCCCTCTAGTCAAGGATGGGACTTCAATTTCATTATTTCATTCAACAGATACTCACCAAACTCCTAGTATGTGCCATATCTTTTACTGAGGGCTGGATTGAATGCATGAATGAATGAATGAATCATGATTTCTTTCCTGCAGGAAATCACAGTGTATCAGAGAAAGCAGAAGCCCTTCAACACTATAGGGACACATTGAAGGGGGATGCACAGACCACCCAAAGAGGAGTAGAAGGACCAAGGAAGGCAACTCTGCCTGGTACCCAGCCACAGCCTCGATTCTTAAGATAATCTGGAGTAATGGGCATGTCCTAGCTTTGGATCCTGAAAAACTTGGGTTAAGTTCCTACTTTGGCCACTTACTAGTTGTGCAAATTTGACTAAATCAATCTCTCTCTGGACCTGACGTTGTCTGTCTGTAAAAGAGGGCCATACCCATCCTCCCAGGCTCTAGTACGGATTAAGTGAATGCTCATCCCAGGATCTGGACCCAATAGTACGTTCAAAGGAGAGTAACTCCCTTCTATCATTAAAACCAACATATTATCTTTTTTAAAGACATTGAGGACAACTTGCTTTTGGGTGAGTCACTTCCGAAGAGAATCATGTTTCTCATATTTGAAAAGATCTGTTAATCAGTATTGCCTTCATAGCTTCCAAGATCAGAAGAAATTTAAATAGTAGTCAAAATAGCTCCGGCAAGTTGAGATTTCACCATGTGCCAGGGACTTCACATACTGTAGTGGATGTTGTGACACTGCTTCCAGATCCCTTATTAGAACACGGGCGCTCATTCCTCCAGCTGCCTGCAATGTTGACGGTTGAACACTCTTGAGTCTTTCTTGGAGAAATGCCCTCCATTGGAAAGAACTGCTTCACCAGAACTTTGATCCCTTCCCCAGAGATGTCTCTCCCCCTGTGATGGTTAGTGTTGGGGATCCAAAGACCGAACACCTTTGTCTTGATTTGGATTACAGGTCTAAAGGACCGTCTCAGCTCCAGTGCTCCCCATGGGATCAGCTGTAACTGCATGCAATCCACCTTCTCCCTCTGCCCCATCCCACTTCGCTCATGTCCCTACAAGAGATCATCCCCCAAAACCTCCTGCATTGCAGTGTCTGACATTGAGTCTGATTGCTGGTGAACCTGACCTAAGACAAATGCATTGTCTCGTTTAATCTTTATTTCATTTATTTATTTTTTGTAACGCTGTGAAAGGAAACTCAGTATCTACCTCTTTCTTAGGCTTTGACTGAGAACGTGTCTTCTTGTCCAGGCTTGCAGAACCAGTAGGTAGCAGACTGGAGATCTCAATACCTGTCTTGCCCGCTCTTTTCTCCTCATATTTGTGCTGTGTCACTTTCCTAAAGTAGTGGGATTAGCCAAACTCAGCCCTGGGACATAATTCAATATCCATCCCTCAGTCTTTAGTGAGAATAAATACAAGAATTATCCATTTAAACAGCATGACTGTGCTTTTCAAAAGAAAAATCTGTAGTTGATACTGACGTTCGGTGCCTTGCACATGGACCCATGTGACATGTTTCTGCTTGGGCTTAGTTCCAGAGGGGAAAATATGGCTTTGTAGATAGATTTGCATATCATCCCTTGCCAGAAAATTTGAAATATGGAATCCAACAGACTTCTTCTTCTTGTTCTTCTTCTTCTCTTTTTTTCTTTAGCTGCCAAGGATTTGAAGGCTAACTTCAAATGTGGTCATTCCCTTATCTCTGGGCCTGATGCTATCTAATCCTTATGCTTTTCACAGAGAGTCCTCTTTCATCCTCACCAAAATCATATTGTCCACTGTGCTTTTATTTAGAAACTCATTCTATATGATGATATAAATCATACTGTGTGTGTGAATTAGAGAACATAACATTGCCTGCCATGCTTATATCCTTTCCAGAGAATCTTAGCTCCTCAGGGCAGCCAGGTAGTTCTGCCTGGCTAGGTAGTTCTGAAGTGGTTCTTCCTCTCTGCTCACTTCCCATTGGCCCCCAGCTGAGTACCAGAGCCAAAATGAACCTGACCATTGGTTAGCTGGCAGGGTCTGATGTGACCTGACAGATTGCTGCCAAACCTGCAGGATGTCTATTAACTGAGTCCTTCTTTGGAAAATTTAAATTGCATTCATGAAAGATTTTTTTTTTCCACTTGATAGTGATGTAGAGAGAAGGCAATACAGGGAGAGAAGCTGAGTCATGCTAATTTTGAAACAATTTAAAATCTCCTCCTGCTGAGGTCTCTATATCTGCCATAAATCTAGAACCACTCTCCAAGTCCAGCTTTGTGAAGCCTGGTCCTATTTGAACTATTTTTATCCCTCTTTCCCCCTGTGAAATTCCACTTTCACTGTATCGCTACATATATACTCTCACTATTTATGACTAATGTGCCATCACCTTCAATGGGCTTCTGTTACATGACCCCAACGAAAATGTTTGTAGTTGTAGTTCATGTGTGTGGGGGGCTTCCCAGGAAGTGCTAGTGACGAAGAGCCTGCCTGCCAGTGCAGATGGAAGAGACTTGCCTTCAGTCCCTGAGTTGGGAAGATCCCCTGGAGAGGGAAACGGCAACCCACTCCAGTATTCTTGTCTGGAGAATCCCACGGACAGAGAAGACTGGAGGGCTACAGTCCATAGGGTTCCAAAGAGTGTAACACAACCGAGTGACTTAGCATGCACACATCCATATGCGTGTGTATATATGTGTGCTAATCCACATATGGCTGTATGTATATATGTGTCTGTGTGTTTGCATGTTGAAAAGGAGCAATTTTGGAGCCTAGATTGCCAAGTTAGAGTCTTTTGTTTGGCCTGCATAAGCTTTAAAGAACAAACTTCAGCCATCGTTTTCAAACTGGGTGATCACAGCAAAAGTCTGCATTTTCTGCCTCTTCTGATGAAAACCTCCACCACTTACCTTTAGATCTGTCTGACCCGAGCTGGCTGGTCCATCTGACCCGAGCTGGCTGGTCCACCTGACCTGAGCTGGCTGGTCCATCTGACCTGAGCTGGTGGGAGCTGAGCTGCAGCCGCTCCGTGTGAACAGAGCCCCCAGCACCCAGCTCACCCCACGCTCCACCTTTCCTTATTGTTTCACGACATTAAGGCATTTTCCATTGCATGGGTGCTGATTTTTGTTTTGGAGGTGCTACAGATCTTTTGAATCCATCCCTCTCTCTCTCACCCTCTTTCTCTATCCCTCATACAATAAAATAAAACAACCTAAACCATGGGGCCACCATGCCATTTCCCTTACACTCAGCCAGTATTTCCCATGGATGTCATCTGCCTCCCACCTGTGGGCTATTAGTGACCCCTGTTTCAAGGGGGACGCATGGGTGACAGAAACAAAAACTTCTTGCATTTTAAATTTTAATACAGTAAGTCCTCTATATACAAATCTTCAAGTTGCAAACTTTCAAAGATGCAAACCTGCATTCACATGTCCAGTCATATGAGTTGGTTCACGTGAATGTCATCATCTGTTGAAGTTGGGTACCTAGGCTACCTCTGTTGAACTTATGAACAAACTGGACTTATGAACGTGTGCTGGGAACAGAACTTGTTTGTATGCAGGGAACTTAATGCCCTTAATCCTTTCCTAGGACAAATCAGGCACTGGCTAAGCACTTTATCCACATTAATTTATTTCATTTTCACAACATAGGGGTGGGTTCTGTTAGTATTCCCATTTACAGACGATGTGGCCAAGACCCAGAGGGACCTCCCCAAAGTCTAGGGCTGGTAATGGTGGATCTGGAATTTGAACTCAGGTCTCTCTCAGCCTTGAGGGCCTGACTCTCAAGCACTCGGCAGAACTGTCTCTCATGTCTGACTTGTCTGTCTCCATCGGTTGCTCACACCATAACCTGCACAGTGTAAATGCTCCGTGAAGGTGTGTAGATCAGTGACAACATAGGACCTGTGGAGGGGAGTGGCCTGTATGCACCTGTCTCCATTCCTGTCCTGCACATCAGCAGCAAGACACCTGTGTCCGAAAATCATGCAGAAAGTAGCTGTCTTTCTCTCTGTCCTCCCACAGGGAGCAGCTTTGTGGTGAGTGAAGGGAGCTACCTGGACATCTCCGACTGGTTAAACCCGGCCAAGCTGTCCCTGTATTACCAGATCAATGCCACCTCCCCGTGGGTGAGGGACCTCTGCGGACAGAGGACCACAGATGCCTGTGAGCAGCTCTGCGACCCAGAAACCGGTGAGCCACGGGCAGGGCTGGGGAGAGGAGACGGCACGGGCTACAGAGGGTCTGCACTCCTTCCGTCCGAAGAATCGTGCCTTCTGAGTGTTTGACCAGGGGCTTTATGTAAAGTGTCCATCAATCCCTTTGGTGGTTAAACTACGTGCCATCACTGGCTGATGGGGAAGCGGATTCTTGTAAAACTGCAGCATCACAGAAAGGACCACAGAAAATGTCTAGTCCAATTTCAGCAAAGAGTCTGAATGTCACCAGACAGCCCTGAGCTCAGATCCTATCTTCCTCTTCCTTGCTGGGTGTTCTCTATCATTTTTTCATCTTTATTGAAATATAATTGGCACATAAAGTTGTATAAATTTTAGGTGTAAAATGTGATGATTTAATCCATATATATAGGGCAAAATGACTACAATAATAAGGTTCCTTAACACCTCTATCACCTCACATTCTTACCCTCTTTGTGTGTATATGGTGATAACATTTAAGGTGTGCTCACTTAGGAGTTTTCAAGATACAACAGTATTGTTCACTATTCTGTATACTAGATCCCCAGAACTTTTTTTTTTCCCTAAAAGGGGAAATGTTGGCTATCGGGTCCAAGCTAATGGCATTCTTTAGCAAGACACTTCCTCTCTCTGAATACTAGAGCATGAAAATAGTATCTAGCCCACAAGTCTGTTAGGATTAAATGAGATAATATATGGAGAGCTTCTAGTAGATTCCTTTATTCATTCTTTTGGCTGACACATATCGAGTAGTTGGACAGTTTTCTAGGCACTGGGGACATAGCAGTGAACGAAATAGGCAAAATCTCTGTCCTAATTACACTTACATTCTGCAGAAAGATTAAATCTGCATTGCCTGTGTTTACATGTAAGTTCACTAAAATTAAACATATCCTCCATCGTATTAGCTGTGTTTATGTGCTCCATAGCTAATGTGATGGGTGGCTATCCTTGGAGAAAGTGGAACAGTAGCATCATTGCAGAACGTTCTGTTGGACTGGGCTGCAATAGACAAATGGGGAAATGTGGATGCTGTCAGAGGATGAGAAATACTGGGGGAGAGCACAAAGCCTGGGGGTAGGTGTGGAGCTGTTACGACAGACACGGTGGCCAGAGAAGGCTTCTCCGAGGCGGTAACCTTTGCCTGAAGAACAGGCACTTTAAGACACCGTAAGATGGTGATGAGAAAAGTCATTGCTTCCATCTGGGGAAAAGCATCCTAGGCCGAGGGGATGGCACGGGCAGCCCCTCTGCGGCAGCAGCTCAGGAATGTGCCCTGGGTTCAGCCTCACAGAAGGACCAGTGGGGGCTGGAGGGCAGAGGGGAGAGGAGCGAGGAGGCAAACCCAACCGCAGAAGGCCGATGGCGGGGAGGGGGGATGATGAGAGGAGGTCACAGGGCCTTATGGAGGAGGATAAGGACTTCGGATGTGACTCTGAGTGAGATGAAATCCATCGGACTCTGAGCAAAGAAGCGGCTTGATCTGAACTGTAACAGGACCACTCTGGCTGCTCTGTGGCAAATCAGCTTAGAGGGTATTCAAGGGTGCTGTTATTCTTTTTTTTTTTTAATTGTACTTAAAAAAAAAATTATTTGTTTGTTTATTTGCCTGCACCGGATCTCAGTTGCAGCACTTGGGATATCCAGTCTTCTCTCATCCCCATCTGTCAGGTGGTACCATAGCTCTGTAGTACAGATAGGTTTTGTGGTCACAGTCTATGTTCTTTCCTTGAACTTCCTACACTTCTAAACTGTGTATATAACACATATATGTGTATTATGTGTATATATATATATATATATACACGTATATAATGTTTTATTTGGGGACATTAATGTTCAGTTTTTGTGTTGTAAGGTTTTATGAGTTTTGACAAACCCTCCTTTTATAGCTATTTGTCATTTACTTATTTGGCCACATCAGATCTTAGTTGCAGCATGTGAGATCTAGTTCTCTGACCAGGAATTGAACCTGGGCTCCCGGCGTTGGGAGTGCGGAGTCTTAGCCACTGGACCACCAGGAAATTCCCAACTCTACAGGTTATTGATGTCAGAAAAACAGAACACCTGTATTCAAACCCTGTGTCTATCACTTACCACATATCTTGGCAAATCATTTCAACCTCTATAAATTTAGTGTCTTCATCTGTAATATGGGGGTGATGACGCAGTACCTGCATTGTGGGGCTATGATTGAGCTGATTTGTATAAAACAGCGTCTCAAGTCAACTTTCACTCCTCCTCCCACATTCCAAATGCAGATGCTGTAAAGTGATGTGCAAAGAGTTTCACCAGCACTTTTCACTGAGGATGGACCATTAATAGTGGAGGGAGGCAGCAGTGTAAAACCCCAACATGTAGAAATAAGGTGACCCTCTGAAGAGTATGGTGAAAAATCCACGTCTAAACCTCATGTTGGCATGTTGTATGAGTCAAAAGCTTTTTCCCCAAGGAGAAGGCTGGTCATAACCACAGGTACTCCTTGGCCTTCTAGCATATCTAAGGCTCCTGCAGACATGTGAAGATATTAGCCCAGATGTTCCTCTTGTGACAGTGGCCTTGATGTGTCTGCAGGGAAGATGCTTCCCAGGTAAAACATGAAAAATAAGCATTGGGATCCAAAAGTCTTATTCAAAGAAAAGGTTCCTAGCTGGAGGTAGAAATTTGTGAGTTCACAGCATACAGATAGTATTAACTTGGAATACACTGCATTATTTACAGTCAGTGCTTAGTAAGTGGACATCTTATTCATAATTGCTGCCCAATAATAGTAATTAATGTTCACAAACAGGGAAACAGGAGTTAGAGAGGAGATTTGCCAGGATCACAGAGCAAGTGAGCAATGAAGCTCGTTCTCCTTCTTCCCAGTCCTGTGGCTCTTCCCTACAACTCATACTGGCATCTTTTCTCTGCAGTTTCACTCCTCTCTCCGTTAACAAGATGCTGACTATCTTGCCTGGAAATCTCACTGCACTGATGCTGTGGAGTGAGGGGTCTCAATGGCCCAGGTCAGGAGTGCGCTTTCTCAACCCAAATTCTCAAGCACTTCTCCATGGGGCAGCAGTTTAGGAGTAAGGAAACTGATTCTCCAGGCTAGCCCCTTCATCTCTGCAGAGGAAGGCAAGGATTTGTCCATCTAGCCATCATTCCATCCTTATCTTTTAGTTGGGAGCCTGTTCAGATGTATTTTTGCAGCCTTTACATAGACCTACTGGGGAAGCTATTTAGAAAATGAAATGTAGCTCTAGTGTACCATTGGATCAGACAGCTAGATCTTCTTTCTTTTAATTAAAACATTTATACTTTAAGGCATTGTCACCCTAAGCAGTCTCCCTGTATCCACAGCACACACACGTACACGCACGCACACATGCACACACACACACACACACACACACACACACACACACACTTGATTATCCTCATGCAACAACCAGGAAAACCCTATGGAATTATGTGCTTCTGGAGCTGGTCATGTAGATTCTGCCTCTTTTTTTTCTCTTTCCTTAAAAAGTAGACAAGATAGGACATAGGAGGAAACAGAAAGGACCCACTTCTTTTCTCCTTCTATGAAGTCTCAGCTAGACAGAGTGGTGAGTGCCTGATGGTCTGACCTTCTGATTTTCTAGTTGATCTCCCTTCAGGTGCAAGCCCATGATTTCTGAGGGTCTTTTTCACTAGCTACAGGCTTAAAGACATAATTCCAAAGAGTGGATCATCCAGGGAGCAAGTGTGTGTTAGTCAGTTTGAAAACAATCAGCTTTCCCACCAGTATTCCCAAGAATAACACCCACACACACACTTTTACCCTTTAGAGCTGAGAATGTCACAGGAATCCACTAGGTTGACCTTAACTTTATCACTGATGATACTGATGCCCTGAGAAGAAAGGCAAGAAAGGACCAAAGTCACTCAGCCAGTAGGAGGCAGAGCCAGGATTCAAGCTCAGGACACTGCGTTCCTACTCAATGCTGCTCCAGCACGCAGCAGGTCTAGAGGAAATCTTACATTCTACATCTCTCAAAGGCTGCCAGCTCCCGCTGATGCTTCTGATCCAAGGATAGCCTAGCTACAGCAAAGCTCTAAACACTCTTCCTCCCAAATAGTCCTCTTGGGTTCTAGACAAACACTGCAAGGCCAGGGCAGGCATATTTGTTAATTCATTATTTTTGCCCAAACCACCCTCACGTTTCTTTCTTTCTTTATTTCATTAGACTGGAAGTTGGAAACAAGAAGAGAGGATACGCCCAGGATAGTAACTAGTGTACCGAAGGATAGCCACAGCTCTAGAAAGAATTAGCTTCAACTCCGGTGTCTCTGTTCTGGGCTGTAGTGACATTCACAGGCTCACTGTTATCACTTCATCTCTGCTGCTATTTGTCACCTAGCACAGGCTCTAGGTACATTGATACCCACAGTTCCTCGAAGGCATCATGCCTTCTCATGCCTGCATCCCCTTCAAAGGCTGTTTCCTCCCCCTTTAAATGTGTTTCTCCTCCTTTTACTGGAGACCAGGGATGCCTTTCATTTCCATTTCATGCAGCCCAAACACCCTTCCTCCCAGAGGCATTTGTGAGTCACCACCCCTTGAAGTGATCACACTGAGGGTCCTCTCCTCTGCTCTCCTAGCCTCCCTACTCCTTGTCGTGGTCCTTGTCCCTGGGCAGAATCATTGTTCTTTCCTTATCTGATCTGTCACCAGACTGTAAGCTTCTTTAGGGGCTGGGTAGGGGGATTCAAGGGCTTCCCTGGTAGCTCAGCTGGTAAAGAATCCGCCTGCAATGCAGGAGACCTGGGTTCGATCCCTGGGTTGGGATGATCCCCTGGAGGAGGGCATGGCAGCCCACTCCAGTATTATTGCCTGGTGAATCCCCATGGGCAGAGGAGCCTGGCAGGCTACAGTCCATGGGGTTGTAAAGTGACTAAGCACAGCACAGCACAGGGGAATTCAAAGCATGCGTCTTGTTCTTCTGTGTATCTTTAAAACTCAGCATT